CTTGCTGGTTGTTTATTTTTTGGTACAACCAGAAAATAGCAGGATACTGAATCAGGAGAGGCTGTGACTGTCTCGGGGGTCACCATAACATTCCGTAGAGGGGGCTAGTTTTATATTCTATAACACAAAGCATACTTGGAGTCTTGGTCGTGCATTTGTGTCTGGAATATTTTCAGTTATTTCTGGTCTCGTGTTTCTAGTAAAACTGTATCCTAAAAAACCACTCCTCGATCCTTGCCCTGTCAGAACTGTCTCTGGTCATGGCAGTCCATTTTCCTAACAGTTGTGATAATGTGCTGTGAAAGATTGAAATTTTGAATATGTACGGTATGTGGCATAAAATTGTGAGTCAGTGGAATTAAGGATTGTGAGCATTTGATTGTTATATGAGGTCTTAGGGAAAACTTGCCAAGCTTAGGATGGAACATCACTGGAATAAGTTCAAAGAGAAACAATAATACATGGCTCTTTTGGGTACGTGAATACAATGTATGACTCTTAGAATTTGGGTCCATGTTTTAAGAATTGAAATGTCTGTGTACTCAACCAATAAAGTCTCAGTTGTGAAAGAGTAAAAAAAAAAAAAAAATAAGAAGCAAAAAGTACTTGAAAATTACTAATGAAATGTATGTCACACCTATGCAGGCAAACCTTACTTTCTCATACGTTGTATATGTTGGGAATTTCAAAAAGTGAAGGCTCGAGGCAATCCTGCATGGAGCCCTTCATGCAGCCTTTACTAAAAGCTCATGATAGCTCTGTGTGTCCCTGTTCCTTCCGAATATATTTCAGTGTTTCCAACATGTGGTAGCTCATTAGAACCACTGTGGAGATCTGTGATCTTTGATCTTGCTGTTGTGACTATTTGGGGGTGCTGCAGGCTGCTCCTAGGTGAGATGCTGAACTGATAACTATGTTATGTTCTGACTGCTTTATGGATTGGCCAAAATCCTTCTCTGATTCTCCTCTGGCCTCCTCATCCCCTGAGACACAATTAGGAGCACCAGTTAATAAAATATCCCAGTGACAGGAAGAGCCACACACCTGTCACTTTAAATCAAAAGCTAGAAATGGCTCGGCTTAGTGAGGAAGGCGTGTCGGGAGCGGAGACAGGGCAGAAGCTAGGCCTCGCACATCAGTTAAGCTGTGTGTGCAGGGGAAAGGCTCTTGGGGAAAAAAAGCACAGATGAGACGCCTTGTTTCAATATGGAGAAAGCTCCATACTGAAAGTTCTGGTGAGAAAATCATGACAACCACAGCATTCACTTAACCAAACCCCTGACTCTCCACAGTTCTGTGAAGGATGAGGGAGGTGAGAAAGCTACAGGAAAAAACAAAAAACAGTGACAGTGTCGGCAGGGGGCTCATAGGCTTTGAGGAAAGAAGCCAGCTCCATGGCATCACAGCAGGAGACGGAGCAGAGGGTGCTGATGCAGAGGTTGCAGCCAGAGTCCCTGACTATGGATGAAGAAGGCTGTGTGGTACTGTCTCGGTGTAGGTGAAATAATCTCCTCTTGGAAGCGACGGCGGATTCTGTAGTTACAGAGAGATGTCAATGCCAAGCTTCAAAAGACAGTCTGCCTTTGGCTAGGGGCTAATGTAACTGGCGGCTATATGTGAAGCCTAGTTTACCATTCTAAAAATCCTAGGGCCCTGAGGATTATCCTAAATCTACTCCGCACTCTGAAGCCTGGGTGACAGCACACCCATTTATGACATGATTTACTGAAGCGTTTAAGCCTGCCATTGAGACCTCCAAAGGAAAATCCCCTTTCCAAGTATTGCTGTGCACTGATGGTGTGTTGGTCACCCAAGGGCCTCGTGGAGATGGATGACAAGATTAATGTTTTCATGCCTGCAAAGCAACATGCTTTCTGCCACCCACATATCAAGGAGTGGTTTTGACTTGAGGCTTACTATTTAGGAAATGCATTTCCTAAGCTGTAGCTGCTGTAGGTATTCTTTGCATGGAGAACTTTCTAGAAAGGCTTTGCCTTTCTCTCTCTCTCTCTCTCTCTCTCTCTCTCTCTCTCTCTCTCTCTCTCTTCTTTTTTTGGCTCTTTGAGACAGGGTTTCTCTGTGTAGTTTTAGTGCCTGTTCTGGATCTCGCTCTGTAGACCAGGCTGGCCTCAAACTCACAGAGATCTGCCTGGCTCTGCCTCCCGAGCAGTGGGATTAAAGGTGTGTGCCACCATGCCCGGCTGGCTTTGCCTTTCTAAAAGCCATTTAGAACACTGGTAATTCTTGGAAGGTCAAAATGGCAGATTATGACAAGTTGATTCTTGTTCTCATGGATGGCTGGTAGAAGCAACTATAGATGGGCCTTGGTGGGAAGCAGAGCCAGAAGACTCGCCCTCAACAAACCACTACAGTAGTGGTCCTCAGCCTTCCTAGTGCTGCAACCCTTTAATACAGTTCCTCTTGTTGTGGTGACCCCAACCATTAAATTATTTTCATTGCTACTTCATAACTGTGATTTTGCTACTGTTATGAGTCATACTGTAAAATATCTGTGTTTCCCGATGGTCTTAGGTGACCCCTGTGAAAGGGTCGTTCAACCCCCGAAGGGGTCATGACCCACAGTCTGGGAACTGCTGCACTGCAGTCATACGATAACATTGGGATGGAAGAGTTGTGTGTGGATGAACCAAGAAAGAGCGTCTCTGGTGAAGACGCTGTGTACATTAGTGAGACGTCAGCAAATGGAAGTGTAGTCAGTGAAGCAGAAGTTGGTGTGGTGGTATTGTGTTCCCCGAAATATTGTGCACCCTAATTATCTGGGGTCAGAGACAGAACAGCCACAATATTAAACATAGAGGATAGGCAGTGGTAGCACACGCCTTTAATCCTAGCATTCCAGAGGCAGAAATCCATGTGTTCAAGGATACAGCCAAGCATGGTGACTCGAGCCTTTAATCCCAGGGAGTGGTGGTAGAAAGCAGAAAGTTATATAAGGCGTGAGGACCAGAAACTAGAAGCATTTGGCTTGGTTAAGCATTTGGGCTTTTGAGCAGCAGTTCAGCTGAGACCCATTCTGGATGAGGACTCAGAGGCTTCCAGTCTGAGGAAACAGGATCAGCTGAGGATCCGGCAAGGTGAGGTAGCTGTGGCTTGTTCTGGCTCTCTGATTTTCCAGTGTTCACCCCAATAACTGGCCTCAGGTTTGATTTTATTAATAAGATTCTTTAAAATTCCTGCTACAGGTTGGGGTTAGCAGGAGAGACTAACTTTGACAGAAGCTCTGCTGTGTATCAACAGCACCCCTCACTTGTAGCTATTAACAGAAGTGCAACATAAGACAACTAGAATTATGAATGTGTGTCTGTGTGCATGTGAGAGCAGGTGCCTGTGGGGGCTTGGAGAGGGTGCTGGATCCCCTGAAGCCTGAGTTAGAGGTGGCTGCGAATTGCCGGACATGAGTGTTTGGAACTGAACTCTGGTCCCTGAGAGATCAGCAAGAATTCTTAATGACCGGTGCTGTGGGATGGTCTGCATGTCAAATGTGTTGCTCTGATTGGTCAATAAATAAAATACTGATTGGCCAGTAGCCAGGCAGGAAGTATAGGCGGAACTAACAGAGAGGAGAATTGAGAGAACAGGAAGGCGGAGGAAATCAGTGCCAGCCGCCGCCATGACAAGCAGCATGTGAAGATGCCTGTAAGCCATGAGCCACGTGGCAATGTATAGATTTATAGAAATGGATTAATTTAAGATGTAAGAACTAGATAGCTAGAAGCCTGAGCCATTAGGCCAAACAGTTTAAATAATATAAGCGTCTGTGTGTTTATTTTGTAAGTGGGCTGTCGGACTGCCGGGGTTTGGTGGGACCTGGAGAAAAAACTCTCCAGCTACAGACCGGCCCTTCCTTTTAGCTCCTACCCTGGTTTTGAGATAGTCTCTCATTGCCACAGAGCTCACTAATTAGGCTAGGCTGGCTGGCCATGAGCCCTGGGGCACCTGTCTCTGCCTCCCCAGAGCTGGTAATAAGTTTGCCCCACTCAGCTCAGGGTTTTTACGTGGGTTCTGGCGCTCATCTTCATGCTCACAACCTAAGCACTTTATTGAGGGAGCCTCTCTCCAGCCCTACTTTGTCTTTTAAGTGCCTTGCACGATGTTAAATTGTCTGCTCCCTGCCGCCTCTATCCTCACCTTCACCTGCATAGGCAACCGTCAAGCTAGGTCAAAAGCCAGAAGGCGACCTGACCAAGTGACAAGCAGGCTCAGCTCAGAGAGGCCCTTGTGTTTCAGGGTTTCCTAGTAAAGTGACTTTCAGAAAACCAAGGAAGGGCCTTAGCAGCTGCTAGCTTCTGCTGCTGGAGGAGACGATGGTGAAGCAGAGGCTGGAAGACTCCAGTTTCGGAAGGAAGTCCTGTCGTATAGCAACAGTCACCTTTGGTTAAATTAGGCCCTGGTCTCTAGAAGCAGCTCCGGTTGGTTGCAAAACCTCTGTGCTCCGTTCCTATGGGTACACATGTGAGACCCTATATTGTTTCCCATGCTGGCTTGGAGATATCCTCACAGGGCTGTTCTCTTCCCTCCCGCAGGAGTGTGAAGAGGAACTCTACTCCTCCTGTCGCCAACTGAGGAGGCGGCAGGAGGAGCTCAACAACCAGCTCTTCCTGTACGACACACACCAGAACCTGCGCGGAGCCAACCGCGATGCCCTGGTGAAGGAGTTCAACGTTAATGAGAACCAGCTGCAGCTGTACCAGGAGAAGTGCAACCGGAGGTAGGTGTCATCGGGTGTCATGGTCATCACCCCCGCCCCCTCCTCGACCCTGTGTGTGCAGTCCTGGAACTTCCAGCCGTGACCTCAGCACCTGGGGCATCCTTTTATAATATCTTAAACACCGGCTGCTTCCCT